GTTGTTGTCTCGACCAGGCTGGACCCCATGTGTGCACTGCAAAGAGCGCAGGAGAGTAGTTCCCTTTAATTAATATCAAAACCGACGTGGAATCGAGTTTCGATGCGTCGATCATCTGACGCTCATCGCTGAAGAATGTGTATTGGAGCACCATTTGTGCCGTTAAAACCAGAGCACAGAGGCCACTGTCGGAAGCGTCCATTTCCACAATGATGTCTGGAGGGGCGCATTGTGGAAGTATTGTAGGGGAACGCCGTTGAATAGCGGGGAGCGTAAGATGTAGGACCACCTGCACCGGTCCTGGCGCATGTCCGCACTAACAGGCACCCGATCCCATCTGCGAAGCTGATTTTCTTGGCGGCGTAGGCGCTGTAAGAATGGACGAGCGGGGCGGGACGGACGTGGCTACGTGACGTAGACGACCGAGTAGTAAGCTATATTCGGACCGACTGAGGGACGTAGTGGTTAACGCCGCTGCCACGCACGTTTTGGACGTTCTCTATCTTCTTCCGGGGCATAGCGACGTGACCGATCTCAGTGTCAAAGATAAGACCGAGAGCCTTCTGTCGACTACTCCAAGGCGTGAATTTGTCTTCATTAATAGCCGCGTGACCGAGTACGGTGATCATCGCGTGACGAAGTGACTGTTCCGTGTCGCTGCAATTGTTGCCAATATCGGCTGCCACGTTGATGTGGTCGTCCACACAGTAGTAGCTGAACACGCCTGAAGGTTGTAGCTGGGTGACTGAGTTCCCGTGTACATGAGCGATCGCTCCGCCAAAACCTCCGTAGCTACCGGGTGAGCCGAACCATCCGAAGGCAGCGGACATATCGATAACTAACGCATTGTCTGGCTTTAGTCGGCCGCCAAAGAGATATGCACTCTCACTATGCGTGCATACGTTACGGAATGCGGACGCCACATCACCAGCTTGCAGTTTGACCACTGTACCCGGGTGGTTCTGCTGCTGAGTGATGTCCTCAGACGCGATGGCGTCGCAGTGCTGATATGACGGTGGACATATACGCGACGTGTCCGCTTGATCGTTCAGGGATTGTCCGTCCGGGTAGGATAGGTCGTGAATGACGCGCTCGTTAACGAGAGGGTCGTCGTCGTCTTTGTCCACCACTCCGAAAGGACTAACATGCACCTCAGGCCATATTTCCAGGATGTCGAGGTCGACGACAATGCACCGCCAATTGTCCTGTTCCGTGCGTATTCTTGATCAGGATCGGGTAGCGATCTGTGGTCGATTGGTATATAAAGACTATGAGCGCTGGCGCGTCCAAGGTCCGACGAGAGGTGTACGGACGCCGTATTGAGCGATATCGAGCAGCGCTTCTAAGTGCTCGTATCCTCTGCAAGCATGGCGTAGTGCTACAGGAAGAATGTTCTTGTTGAGTCTATAGTCATCAAACGTTTGGACGTGCAATAGCTCGACGAACTTTGGTAAACTGATGTGCGTGCGCCGAATGAAGTATGAGAGCACCCGTAGGAGAGGCTTTTTCAGTACTGGCCCTCCGTCCTGGGAAGGAGATGGCGCCACTGGCATCGACAGCCCAACTGTCTGTAGAGCCGCGCTAACATGTTGTAGACGAATGCGTCCCCATAGATTTGCTCGTGTCTCCGCCTGTACCGCCATCGTCTGAGTTGCCGCGATGCTCGGAGGTGATCGCTTCAGAGGTTGATGTGCCGGAGCTCGGCAGGTACATGGCGCTGTGAGTTGGCGACGTGTTCCCGTAATGTAGTTCTGTGTAAGCTGTGGTGCTAACCATGCTCCCGGTGCGCCACTATTTGGCGCTGAAGCCGAGGCGGTACTCGGTTTGACGTCGCGGATGGAGATGCCATGCGACGTCCGAGCATGGAGTGAGGCGGCACCAGCTCGGTGGCAGCGCCTTGGGGCGACTGCGTGTCTGTCGAAGCGCCGTGGGGCGGCGCTGCAGAAGTGATAGGGCCATGGGGCGCTTTAATGGGCGTGTCCTCCTCTCTACGTTCTAGGCCACTAGAGGAGGAAATGGTAGGAGGTTGATCGCCCGCGTAGGGAAAGAATACAAAGTTGCTGTCCGTTGGTGGAACCATATTACTGTGCATTTAATGAGGTTGTGCAATCGTACCGTTGAGCTGACGAACTAACAGCACCACGGCCACTCCACTGTCGTGTGCGGCGGTTGCCTTGGTAACTGTAACGGGGTTACATGGTGTGGAGCACACAGGGGTACGAAGTACCCGGAGAGTTAACAAACTCTCAGTACATAAGTTGGAGCGTTAACAAGGTCTCTCAGTACGTTGGCTGAAAGCCACACGTTATGCATTTGATTAGGTTTAACTATGCTAGATAGTTAAAGAGATACATTTACCCCTAGGCGGCTTGGCCGCAATAATAGTAAATAAAACACTTCTGGTTTTGAAGCATAAAAGTTAAGGTATTAACTTTGAGCCCTGGTCTTGGGCTGTAAGTGTCCTTTGGATAAGGAACTTAGTATTAGTGACTCTTTGAGTCGAACGTCTTCCTCTGACGCTAAAGCTACGGCAGCCCCGCTGCACTTGGTAGCACTTTCAGTCAATCCCGCTCCTGAGTCGGTTGACTATATCCTCTGCGAGGATGGAACACCCCGTGTTCGCGAATTTGCCCCCGGCGCAGCAGGACGCGCTTACTAAGCTTATGTCCTTGCTTGGCCCGGAGGGCGTGGCTCATCTTGCATCGCAAGGTCCAGAGGCGGTCACTGCCAGGCTGGAATTGTTCTCCCGCTACGAGAACGCGCTCTTGGAGCATGTCCAAGAGAAGATGAGCGCCGCAACGGCGGCGGCGTCGATGACGCGTGAAGAGTCTATGAGACTGAAACCGCTCATGGTGAGCGTAAAAACCTTCGAGGGGAAACTTGACGAGCAGATCCACTTGGACGTTGGGGACAGTGACGACCTTCCCGTCGGCCAGTCGCACTGACACCGTCCCGTTGCCCTTGCTTTCTCTCAAAGCATCGGACAACTTGTTGCTGTTGCGAGCAACCGTCTGGCGGCGTGCGAAAT